TGGTTCGTAAATGTGAGCACACATGCGCACGGCCTTCTGTGCATGCACAGTGCTCCCGCATTATGTCCGGGCGGGTGGGCGGAGCCTCCTGCAGTTGCCGCTACCAGTTCACTTTATCTGGAGGAAACCGACTGAATCCCACTACTGATATGGACATCACTGGATGGACGTACAGAAAACAAATTGCCTATATTATTGGTACAAGGAGGTAGAAGATCTCAGTTATAACAATAAAGATGGGACCAAGGGTTGAGCATGGTATACATTAAATATGCAAGTTCCACACCAAGATGAAATGGAAGAATGAAATTGACCAGTTTCATGAAAAGAGAGTGAGTATAATCTCACCATTTTTTTTCAAGGAGAACCTTCAAGAATCTCTTGGAAGTCCTGTGCCTCATTGATAGGGAACCAGAGGAACATGGCATGAAATCAACGCTGTTGTTAAAAGTCAATGTGAAAAGAGACCAGAAAAAAAAATACAACAAACAAAAAAGAGAAGAAACCAGAAGCAGTAATACATTAATAAAGATGGAAAGAATATACGAAGATACCATACACTAGGAATCTATAAAGGTGTGAACCAAATTGGGCCAGCTAAGCTGAAGAATTGAAAGGTCGGCAGTTCAGGGGTTCAAATTACCTGTTACTTGTCCCATCTTCTGCCAACCTAGCAGTTCGAAAGCACATAAAAAATGCAAGTAGAAAAATAGGGACCACCTTTGGTGGGAAGATAACAGCGTTCTGTGCGCCTTTGGCATTTAGTCATGCCGGCCACATGACCACGGAGACATCTTCAGACAGTGCTGGCTCTTCGGCTTTGAAACGGAGATGAGCACTGCCCCCTAGAGTCGGGAACAACTAGCACATATGTGTGAGGGGAACCTTTACCTTAAGCTGAAGAATGACACAATGGCCAACAAACTGGAAGAAGCAAGTGTACATACCAATACCAAAGAAAGAGAACTTAACATAGTGTGCAAAGTATTGTACAATTAATTGCTTAATTTCTCATGCTTGTGAAATAAAGTTCAGGATGATCTAACCCAGATTAGAGCCCTACATAGAAAGGGAAACATTCATGCTGGTTTTTAGAAAAGGCTGAGGAACAAGAGGCATTATTCTTGATGCACACTGAGTGATTGAGGAATCCAAAGAAGAGCAAAAAGACATTTACTGACAATGGGAAGGCCATGTCAAGCTATGGAATATCCTTAGTAAAGTAGGAATCTCAAAACATCCTCATAAAAAGTCTGTACATAGGACAGCAAGTGAGTCTGGGCAGAAAACAATGAAAGGTGCTTTTTCAAGAAGCAACTGGACTTTCTTGTTTTTCTTTGAAGACGTTTCACTTCTCATCCAAGAAGCTGGAACTGGACATGGCTAGTCTAGTGAAGAGAAGAACCAGGGGAGACATGATAGCAGTGTTCCAATATTTGAGGGGCTGCCACAGAGAGGAAGGGGTCAAGCTATTTTCCAAGGCACCTGAAAACCAGGCAAGGAATAATGGATGGAAACAAGGAGAGATTCAACCTCAAAATAAGGAGAAATTTTCTGACAGTGAGAACAATCAACCAATGGAACAGTTTTTCTTCAGAAGTTGTGGGAGCTTCATCACTGGAGGCTTTCAAGAAGAGATTGGACTGCCATCTGTCAGAAATGGCGTAGGGTCTCCTGCTTGGGCAGGGTGGGTGGGTGTTGGACTAGATGACCTACAAGGTCCATTCCAACTCTGTTAATCTGTTACAATCTGTTAATCTGTACAATCAGCTCATTCAGTGAAGTAGATTGGTGCTCAGTTGGCAAAGGAATGAAGTAAGACTGTATATTCTCTCCTTATTTATTCAATCTATATGCAGAATATAGATTGAGAGAAGATGGAGTAGAAGATGTATGCAGTTTTATATTTGGAGAAAAAAGCATCAATAATCTTTATTGGGATTTTGATAACCAAAATGCAAATCAATTGCAAGCTCTAATAATGAAAGTCATGGAGCACAGTGAAAATTGGGACTACAGTTAAATACAAAGATAATCAAATTAATCACAACGGGTTCAGCAACCAGTCTTAGAATTGACCAAGAAGACATTGAAATGGTGGATTGCTTTTGCCTTTTCAGATCACCTATCAACAATAAAACAATCAGCAACCAAGAAATTCACTCCAGACTAACACTTGATATGGTGGCAGTGAAGATTATGGAAAAGATGTTGTGACATGTTTATATGTATTGTACAAAAATTAGAATTGTGCAGTCAATAGTTTTCTTTGCGTTACTCTACAAATGTAAAAGTTGGACATTAAAGAAATGGAATAGAAAGCATATTGATGCCTTGAACTTCAGAGATGGAGGTGACTCCTGAGAATACCAGATAACAAACTGATTATAGATTAAGTCAATTTGGAATTCTCATTTGAAGCACAAATGAACAGTCTCAAACTACAATATTTTGGACACATGTATAGACCCAGCTGCTTAGAGAAGTCCATATTTTTGGGAAAGATGGATGGAAAGTGAAGAAGCATCCAGCATAATGTAAAGGGACTACTCATCCTATAGAACATCTACACATAATCTATAAGAATTAACATTGAGTTAATGCTAAATAGCAGTTGTTGTTATATTATCATTATCATTTACAGCACAAGTGTTGATTGTAGAAAATTCTCATGTTCAATTTTGTGATATCATTTGGTATTAGAAGTTGCAAGGTGTTGGGCTGGAAAAATATGTGGTTAAGATTTGAGATGTATATTTCCAATAGAATTAAGTTTCCTGAGATGGTGTTAAATTGCAGCTTCAGAATTTGCAATCAGCACATCTTTGAACCCAAGGTGTGTGAAGCAGAATCCTCATCATATTGACAATATAAGTACTTACAATTCTCCTTGGATACAGAACACATGTTAGAACGCATATTATTTTTGAAATAAATGATGGTGAGAGGAAGATAGTTGCAAAACACTAGGGACCCAATATCTTGTCACTGATATGCTCAGATTTTTTTCTCTCAAATTTACTTCTTAGAAAATTATTTTCCTCTGCAAATAATTTTTCAGATATTATTGATATATCACTATATATGTCCTCTTGAGAAAATACCATATCCAAAAGGAGAGTCCCCAGTTAGGATGACCTTAACAAAGTGGGCCTTGTTTTCATTTAATTTTTCTAGATTCAGAATCTAATATATCCTACAATATAAAGAACAACATTTCCAACGGTGCTATATCTTACTAAATACAGTACATATCTGATCGATTGTGTGCCATTAAGTCAGTGTCAATTCTTATTGACCACACAGGTAGATTTTCTCCAGGACAATCCAGCCTTAACCTGGTCTTTCAGATCTTTCAATGATGTATCCATCGCCACTGGTAATCCATTCCATAACCATGTAACTGGTTATCCATTCATCTTGGTGATGGTCATCCTCTTTTCATTCCATTCATTGGTCACAGCATTAGAGCCTTCTCCAGAGAACTAGGTCTTCAGAAAATAAGTCCAAAGTAAAGTAATTGGCTCAGTGGGTAAGATGCTGAGCTTGTTGATCGAAAGGTCAGCAGTTCAGCAGTTCGAATACCTAGTGCCACATAACAAGGTGAGCTCCCATTATTTGTCCCAGCTTCTGCCAACCTAGCAGTTTGAAAGCACTTTAAAAATGCAAGTAGAAAAATAGGGACTACCTTTGGTGGGAAGGTAACAGTGTTCTGTGCACTTTTGGCGTTTAGTCATGCCAGCCACATGACCACAGAGACATCTTTGGAGAGCACTGGCTCTTCGGCTTTGTAATGGAGATGAGCATCGCCCCCTAGAGTCAGGAATGACTAGCACATATGTGCAAGGGGCACCTTTATCAAGGGGCACGATAATTTGAGCTTAACCATTTGTGCCTTGAGTGAGAACTCTGGGTTGATTTGTTCAATGATCCCTTTATCTTTGGCTATCCATAGTATATTCAGGGGTCATAGCTAATGCCAAACTTCAAGCATCATTGATGCTGTTTCTATCTTGCATCTTCAAAGTCCACTAAAGACATTTCAGGATAATGTTCAACATTAAGAAGCTCCGAGTAGCTCATAATGGAGAAAATTATTATTTTACTGTTAATTTACATTTATTATAGCTGCCCACTCCCATAGACTCTAGGAAATGGGACTCCAAATCTTCTGGGGGGGGCATATTTATTGATTCATCTAGATGTGTTGAACTACCATTCTCATGGAAGCTTTTGCTCACCATAGCTGAAGGACAGCAGCTTGAGGAAACTTGGTCAATTCTTAGTCTGATCATTGGTTCTTGGCATTGGTCAAAGACAGAATAGAGTAGAATAGAATAGAATAGAATAGAATAGAATAGAATAGAATAGAATAGAATAGAATAGAATAGAATAGAATAGAATAGAATTTTTTGTTGGCCAATGTGATTGGACACACAAGGAATTTGTCTTTGGTGTATATGCTCTCAGTGTACATAAAAGAAAAGACACCTTCATCAAGAATCATAAGGTACAACACTTAATGATAATCATAGGGAACAAATAAGCAATCAAATCATATTAGGAAACAGTCAATATAAATCGTAAGGATACCAGCAACAAGGTTACAGTCATACAGTCATATGTGGGAGGAGATGGGTGGTGGGAACGATGAGAAGATTAATAATAATGCAGACTTAGTAAATAGTTTGACAGTGTTGAGGGAATTATTTGTTTAGCAGAGTGATGGCGTTGGGGAAAAAACTGTTCTTGTGTCTAGTTGTTCTGATGTGCAGTGCTCTATAACGTCATTTTGAGGGTAGGAGTTGAAACAGTTTATGTCCAGGATGCGAGGGGGTCTGTAAATATTTTCACAGCCCTCTTTTTGACTGGTGCAGTATACAGGTCCTCAATGAAAGTCAAGTTGGTAGTAATTCTTTTTTTCTGTAATTCTAATTATCCTCTGTGTCTCTCTTGTTGGGTTGCAGAACCAAACCAGACAGTTATAGAGGTGCAGTTGACAGACTCAATCATTCCTCTGTAGAACTCCGTAGATGCTGAAGTAGAAGCTTACTAAACTTGAAATTAGATCCCCACCTCTTCCTTGTGTTATACTATAGGACTGTCACTTCCTCCCCCTCCTCTCTAGTTGCGGATGGTGCCTCTGCCCTATCAAAAGTGAGGTGGCCCAAGGAGCGAAAAGTTGCTTCTGCATCCCAGGAAGCAAGAGAGGGAACTGCACTCCCTACTAGGGAAGTCAGGAAAAAAAATTGGGGAGGTGGGGGGGAGGAGGAAGAGAGAAGATCCCCTTCTCTCATTCCGCCGCGACCTCCGCAGCGTTCAAGCTACCTTTCTCTCTCACAGAGAAGGAGAGGAGGAGAGAGAGCGAGCGAGCGAGCAGGAAAACAGTCGTACTGGTTGCCGAGCTTCTGGGTCAGGATTGGAGGATTTATCCCAAAGACGGATCGATCATCTGGGGTGGGCTGGGGTGGGCTGGGGGAAGAGTTCAAACGGCAGCCAAGCGAGAAGCCAACCCAGCCAGGCACAAGCTACACAACTGGGTTGCGTTTGCAACTTTTCCTCCAAGCCCGCCTTCCTCCGCCGTAAACCGGGATGGCTTCCAATTTTAACGATATAGTAAAGCAAGGGTACGTCAAGATTAGGAGCAGACGTTTGGGCGTAAGTATTTTGCGATGGCTTTGGCGTCTCTCCCCACCCACCCCCGTTTTCCTCTCCTCCATTCCCCGCTTCTCCCCTTGGCATTTTCATCCGAGACTGAGCGGCGGCGGCGGCGGCTTTTGAGACTTGCCAGATGCTCCTCCGCGGCCGCCGGGTGGGTTGGTGGGTTGGGATCGGTCGGAGGGTCTGAACGAGAAGACAAGCAAGCCAACGGCCGCTTTAGCGTTCTAGTTATTTACTTCTACCTTGCGGAGGGTTGAGCCTTTCCAGATCCCTGCATACACCTACCCGACAGACTTGCAAGGCGCATTTCTAAGAGAACAGGTTCAGCGAAGGGAAAATACACAGAGATGTGGGCTGGCATTAAATGGGTATTTTCAGGGGCTCAGCTGTGCAGGTAGAGTAGCAAGCCCTGAATGCCACAGAATTCTTCCTCAAACGGGACTGGGGCGAGTGGTTGGAGGAGGCAATGGCTTGATAGGAAACTGATTTAGAAATCGGGGGATTGACTGATCGAGGCGGTCTGTGTCTCCTAACTTTCCACTTCTCTTTCCTGAAAACTTTCCTCTTTTGCACTAAAACGGAGCCCCGTTTTAGTGCCAAAGAGCAAGGAAACTTCAGGGCAGCTGTGTGCGATTTGCAATTGCAGCGGGGGTTTGGTTTAAAGTCTTGTGGCACCTTGGAGATGGGCAGCTTAATCCTAGGTAACTTCACTCAGAAGTGAGACCTGTGGTGGGTGATGTGCAACGGTGCAATATTGGCTTTTTATAAAAAGAAGTAGATGTTAATACTTACATATATTGCTGGCCTCTTATCTCAAACAGTTGGGCCAGCACAAGTCTATGTGTGTTGATTCTAAAGGATGCCTGTTGCCTTGACGGCAAGTCTATGCACATTTTACTTAAAGTATTAACGTCTACTTCTTTTTATAACAAGCCGATATGATATTGCACCATTGCACTATATATACTACATATTAACCAGTAGTAAATCTTCATGGCTTCAGTGGCTTCAGATTGCTTAGGAGTATAAATGTACTGAAAAGTCCAAATTGATGCAAAATACTCTCAGGAACAGAACAGCAGCGTTTATCCCACTTGAATAAAACCGGCCCTGCAAGTAGGAAAAAAAAATCTATATTATTTACACTTAGTGAGTCTTGTATCTCATCATCTGCACCTGACAATTCTGAAGTTTTGTGATACTAAACCATTCCGGCCAGATGAACCCCTCATGCTTTTGTTAGCTGTCTCTTTAAAATATGCTGTCACTCTGCATGTGGGTCACATGGAAATACCATTCAAGTAAACCTTTCCTCCAAGTCAGATGTTGATGGTGTGTTTACTCCAGAGGATTCCTTCATTCATGAAACTTTTTATAGCTCTGGGCAGTCAGTAAGCCACGGCCTTTGACATAGAAAATAAATTTAGATCAATTTCAAACTGGAATCTTAGGGAGATAACATCCATATCAATCTAGCAGAATTCCTTCTTTGCACAGCCGATTGCTTAGTTTGGGTGTGTAGAAAACTCTGCATTGGAATTTTTATTTGTTGAAAAAAAAATACTTGGGACAGGTTTGCACCTTTGATTTTCAGAAGGTCTCAATTTAGTTGTCATGTTGTGCTGGAGCATTTCTTTCACATTTAAGCGTTTCTTTCATTGTTTACCTATCCCGCATACTTTTTCAGTTAACACCCCCCCACACACACTAAAGATGCTATGCATGAAAATATTAGGAGTCTTATGTTAAAATTGTGCACTGGACTGTTTTGTACCAGACTGTTGCCGGTGCACTGGTAGGCTGTTTTGGCAGTTATTGTGGCTTCCCTTGAGAAGTTGATTCATAGACATCTGCAAGGCTTTAACTCTTTGGAGGCACATTGTCTGCAGTTTTGATAAACAACTGAGCCGATGTCTCAGATTCGAAAGAAATGGGATACAATTTCAACTCAAGTGCCCTTTATTTTACCAGGTGGATAGTAAATGTCACTGGCTACTATAAAAATGGGAGAGCTTTATAACTGAAAGGTTCATGTAGTGTGAACTTGAGGCTCATGTACTGCATACATGTGAATGTTGAAAGATCTATGTGGTAGAAAAGAATAAATGCACTGATAGAATAGAATAACAGAATTGGAAGGGACCTTGGAGGTCTTCTAGTCCAACCCCCTGCTTAGGCATGGAACCCACTTCAGACAAATGGTTATCCAATATCTTCTTAAAAACTTCCAGTGTTGGAGCATTTACAACTTCTGGAGACAAGTTGTTCCACAGATTAATTGTTCTAACTCTCAGGAAATTTCTCCTTAATTCTAGGATGCTTCTCTCCTTGATTAGTTTCCACCCATTGCTTCTTGTCCTGCCCTCAGGTGCTTTGGAGAGTAACTTGACTTCCTCTTCTTTGTGGCAGCTCACACAGCATACCTGGATACCTGTTCCTAATTGTGCACAGGTAGTCCTTGACTTACAACCATTTGCTTAGAAACTGTTCAAACTTACAATGGCACTGAAAAAAGTAACCTATGACTGGTCCTCACACTTACAACTGGCACATCATTCCCATGGTCATGTGATCAGAATTTGGGTGCATGACAATCGTGTATTTAAACTAAAGAGCTGCGGTGGAGCAGTGGTTAGAATCCAGTATTGCAGGCTAGTACTGCTGCCTGCCGGTTGCCTGCAATTTGGCAGTTCGCATCTCACCAGGTTCAAGGTTGACTCAGCCTTCCATCCTTCCGAGGTCAGTAAAAGAGGATCTAGATTGTTGGGGGCAATATGCTGACTGTGTAAAACTGCTTAGAGAGGGCTGTAAGACACTTCGAAGCGGTATAGAAGTCTAAGTGCTATTGCTCTTTATGATGGTTGCAGCAGCATCCCAGGGTCATGTAATTATCATTTGTGACTTTCTCATCCCAGCTTTCAACAAGCAAAATCAATGGAAGAAGCGAGATTCACTTAAGGACTGCTGTAATTTGCTTAACAACTGTAGCAATAAAGATCATCAAATCAAGATGTCTTGCTTCGTAATGGGAATCCTGATCCCAATTGTGGTCTTAAATTGAAGACTACCTGTACAAATATAATTCCTAGTTTTTAGTGACTTATTATTATACATTTCTAAATAAATATGTTCAGATTAGCAGCTCCAAAACTCGGACATTTCTGAAAAAGAAAACATGGGCTGGACTGGAGGTTATGTTTACTACATTACTACATTGCCTCTCCTCCAAAATGCTTAAGAAATGTCTACTTTTCCTCCTCGGTTTTAGTTTTACAATAAATACATAAGGTCAGCTAGGAAGAGTGAGAGATCATTGTTTGATTTCTATATGGCACTAGTGTTATAGGTTGTTTAATTATACTTAGGAAATAAATGACATTGTTTTTTTTACAATATACTAAACCAAACCAGATAAAGTGCTTAATGTGATGTGTGAACAATAACTTGCACGAACCCAAAGGACTTTACGGCTAAACTGAACCTGACGCTCCTTGGTTGTTAGTCCCAAATTATAACACTTATACCCCACTGGCTGTATAGAACAAGGAGGCAAGCTAACACCTTCCAAGCATGTTGGAATGCAACTTCCATTATCACCAGCCAAGAGTTTGAAAATAACTTGGTGCAGGAATATCTCCAGTTTCCAGTCCTGTCTGGTTCTCCAGGTTCAGAAAAGAAGGAAGATTTGTTTTGTTGATAATGGATGGATGAGGGAGAACAAATTGACATTAAATCCAGACAAGATGGAATGGGTAAGTATGACTTAAGGATGAAAGTTTAACTGGGATTAGACAATGTTCCACTTCTCCAGAAAGTACCAGCCCTCTCTGTTTGAGAGTGCTATTTGATCCCCAGGGATTAATGTTTTTGCACAATCATATCTAGTGTGATGAATGTGACTCTTCCTGGGCTGATCAGATTCAATATCTAGGCCTTGGATACATCCCATGTTAACTATGGCAGCACGCTTGCATCAGGCTACTGAGAGCTAGTGAGAGCTAGTGGGATGCAGTCAAAAGGACAAATGAGAACTTGAAGGATCCTTCAAGTCCGGGTGCGCTTCAAGGTGTTGGTCACCACCTTTAAAGCGCTCCATGGCATGGGACCTGGATATTTGCGGGACCGCCTTCTGCCGCCGATAGCCTCCCACCGACCAGTACGCTCCCACAGAGAGGGACTCCTCAGGGTGCCGTCAGCCTGGCAATGTCGGCTGGCAACCCCCAGGGGGAGGGCCTTCTCTGTGGCAGCTCCTGCCCTCTGGAACGATTTGCCCCCAGAGATACGAAGGATATCGGATCTCCGGGTTTTTCGCTGTGCCCTAAAAACTTTTCTTTTATCAAGCAGGGCTGGCGTGAAACCCCCACCCCCTTTTTTATTTTTTAGCTTTTTAAATTGTCATATGGGTTTTAGTTTTCAATGTTTTAAATTCTTGGGCCACAGTTATTTAATTCTTTTAATAATTTTAAATTTTGTATTGATATATGTTTTAGTTCTGGCTGTGCACCGCCCTGAGTCCACTTGGAGAAGGGCGGGATATAAATTGAATAAAATAAAAATAAATAAGTCTACATACCGTTCAAAAGAGAAAATCAAAAAGTCAAAAAGGGGACACAAAGATCAAAAAACCCTATCAACAGCAATCAACACCTTGATGAGCAGAGATTAACACCAGGATTAACATTACACTAACAACCAAGAAGCAAATTATACCCTAAATAAGGAACTGTCAAGCAAACTGACAGTAAATAGCCCAAGCAAAGAACCATCAAAACCACACCCACCAACCCTGACAGGGCAAGTCAGTAGGATATAAAATGAGAACAAATCTCACTCCCTACTAGCACTGATGATAGTACCCAGTTTGGTAATGAAACATCTGCAAGAAAACAAGTACATTCAGAGACCACCAAGGACTTCTCATTTTTTTCAGTCTCCCATCAACTATAGAAATATACATAGGATACTTTGCACTACTCGCTCTTCATTTCAGATCAAGA